TTTCTAAAACATACAGTGATAAGCAAGTCTTTAATCTCCAGTGATAGAACGACTCAGTTTCAGGAACAACTCACCTAATTAACCGGGACATGATTTAAGCCATTTCACATGCAATAGTTTGCTGCAGGAAACAAGAAATAAATCATCTTTTCATATCTATATTCTGACCAGCACCTGGATTTCAATGAAAATCACAAGCATTCAAACTGATGCAAGTGCCATAACTTCGTAAGACCTCTCCTTTTGATTCATATCCATGAACCAAGAGGTCTGCCAGACTCTCCACTGCTAGCATAACGCAGATGTTTAGTTGCAGCATTAAAGGAATACAAGCTTAATCCCACACATAAAGATAAAGATTCTAAAGAGAAAAACTTTCAAATCTATTTTAATAAATCCCGAGTTAAAAGATGCGTATAATTATAGAAGCTTTAAACAAATGAATACGCTTATTTTCATCCCCTTGTTTCATCCCTTTTGTTACTCCACTTTTCTTTAGAGAGCTAGAAGAGGATAGCCCACTGCTGCTTTTGTTATCCGAAGCTTCTGCAGAAACTTCAGCTTGCTGTTACACGGTTCATTCATGACATTTGCACTGAACACACTTGCAGGATTTTTTTATTTTTTTGTTTTAAATACTGAAGAAATGTTTCTACAGTACTATGTGGGACAATAACGTTCACAAGCTAGTTTTGTTACCACAGGAACCAGTCTGAGCTCTGGGCACAGATCCTTCTATGGGCTTGTTCTGATACATCAGGGCTGGAAGTTCAGGCCTTGTTTTCCAAAGAAGTCGGATTTGTTGTGTGGAGATCCTCTGACATAGAGGACTTTGATTTTATTTTTTTAATATATTTTTTCTTTTTTTTTTTTTAGATTTTATGCCTGAAGTTCCATTTTACAAAACAAGAAGGACAAAAAAGAAACGTCCTTGACTTTTCAAAAAAACCCTGCCCTAACCAGGTAAGAAAATCTGCAATGCATTTCAGTAATATTAAGAATGTACTAGCAGTGACTCTGCAGATTTAAGATCTACGTTTAATTTTGTGCTAGTGTTTCTAATAGACCTTTTCTCTGCAATTATCCATTTTGGCTGCAAAAGCATTTCAGAATAGCATGTGAAAAACACCTCAGGTTAAGCATCTGAAACAAACAATGCTTTGAAAACCCTAGAAAGATAATTTCCGTCATAATTTTTTCTGGGAATATTGTATGTACTATTCAATTGCCCTACTCCATTTTATTCTATTTCCCCAGTCTTTTTTCAAAAGAACTGTACAACAATACATTTTCACAAGTGTATCTCAGCTCTTGCTAAGGTTGATCTGCATCTTACAACCTAGAGAATGATTTTGTTTTTTAACTTGCAGTGCCACCTAGCAAACGTCCTTAACATTTTTTTTCCTGATGTAGTTTTACAAAGGATAGCTTAGAGCTTTCATATTTAAAAAAGACAAACTAGTGCTTGCAGTATTTTAATCATCTAGTGCATACTTTTGTTTTGAACAGTTAGATTTCTATTAGAACTTATGCTTACAAATAGGATAATAATAAAGATGTTCACATACCTAAAATTCTGGTATACAAACTTAGAGATCTAGTTTTGGACATATCCCTTATACATTTGTCTACAAATAGTTCCATTAATTGTTGGGGGATTTTTTTTAAAGTCATAAACTTTGATAGTAGGTCAGTGCTGAATTTATTGGAGTTTTGAGATAAGAGAGACTCCCGCCACCAAAATAAGGAGGATTTTAGCTTATCGAGGCACATTAGTACCTTGTATGCAGACACCTTTCAGACTTGTGTGAAAGCTAGAGCCACTTGATTTGCCTTGCCTTGTAATAATAACCATGTCCCAGGACAAAGCAAGTTTAGATATTTAACTCTGTGCCTGAACTGTGATGCTAACCCATAGAGCTACACGTGGGAGACATTAAAATGCAGCGATTCAGAACAAATGGTGCAGCCGCTTTCTGTTACCCTAAACCTCTAACAGGAACCTGTTTCCAGGTTAGTTCCTGTGCCAAATTCTAGTACGCCATTTAAAAGAGAATAGAACCAAAAATGCAAAAGCAACCTCATGACATCAAGAGCGAGGGACGAAAAGAAACATGCGCTCTGCTGACTGACCTTACCCTTTGATAACACATCTTAGACCAACTACACTATAAGCTCTTTGAATAAAGCAGCTTGTCTTCATTCACAATGTCAACATGTACCAATATTTAGACAGTACTTTGGCAGCAATACAAAATGATACAGTTTTATTGCTTCTCTTACAATCTCTAAGTAGAGTTCTGCTATTATACTTCCTGGTGAACAGAGAAACCACTACATGTTTTATAGAGTTCAAGAAATAAAGCAAGTCAAAACAAAAGATAACTTTCCAATAATAAGAACGGTTTTGGCTTAGTTACAATCCTATGACCCTTGATTTTTCAGCCTGTCTCCAAAGATTCCAGCACCGTGCAAGGACTGTATGTACAGGAAGACTTGTGTATCACTTCAGCAAGCAAAAGGGGAAAAAAGAAATTAAACTTAAAAAAAAAAAAAAAAAAGCCCCAGCATGTAAAGAATGAAATTTTGACAAGCACTACAGACCACATCTTTATCTAAGATGCATGGCAGATGTTTTCATATTAGCTGAGAATTTAATTGCTATCTTAAGTCAAGGAAGAGAACGCTTTTTTTTTCCAAAGAAAACTACATTTTGTGTACTCCCCTGAGATCAGAACTGAGCCACTAATTCTTCCCAGAATTACCATCTCTATATTGTATGGCCCAATTAGTTTTGCATAGAACTCTCTTTATGCAAAAATAACAAGATGCATTTCAGATGCTGTACTCCTATAAGAACTTCGGACTTTAGTCCCTGCAGATTGGCAAGAATAGTCTTTCCAAAAAGCCATTTTAATAGAAAAGATCCTTGAAAGTTTGTCTCTCGTCAGCCTGACTTGATGCATTTACTTTTTTTGCCCCTTCTGATATTGTATGGTTTTGGTCCATTTTCATTCATCCTTATCACTGTTTATCCACAGAGTTCTCCAGATCCTTGAGGTGTTAATTGTTTTCTATATAGCACAAAGACTCTGGTTTCCTGCTTGAAAACATGCTATAAGAAACACAGTTACGTAATTCGCTACAAAAAAGCCTCCACCAAAGGCCACAGGCTTTAATGTCACCTCCTTTTTCTTTCACAGTTTGCTGTGAAATCTGCTGCTAAAATGTCGTAACAAGGGAAAAGACTTAACACATTATTTCTATCCACTGGAAGGAGCACTCTTTAGAATCAAAAAGTCTTTCCCCTCTCCCCAAGTCCATAGGTCCACCATGCTTTGAATGACTGAAAAGGAATCACTTTTTCAGGCCAGGTGGATATGTGACATACCATCCATTGTTTAGCACTGGAAGGTTGGATATTAGAGAATTACTGCTACTGTTCCCTTTTATGTTTCAGTCTCTTCTTGACATCACAGTAAAGAAAGAAAAATGGAAACATAAGTCAGGCATTTCAAACAAGTCCCTCTGGTTTCCAGTTCTCAAAAGCTGAAACCCCCCAGAAGACAGATGGTCCGACTGAACCAAGCCTCCGCAACCTGTCTTAAAAGGTCTTGACTTATGACTGTCTCACTACACACCACAAAGCACTAATGCTTACTTTAAGACACGACCTTCAATGTTTTCATTGTCCTCTAAATGGCAAGACATACAACTTTGTATTTATAAATTCACCTAACTGTTTCCTTCACAAGAGACTAAGATTATCATCGCTAGAACCCATGGCATGTTATAATACAGTAGGCGGTATGGATGTTCTCACATTTATTTTACTAAAATATGCCTTTTTGACTACTAATTATAATGATACTATTCTTTTTTTTCCCCTTGTATAATGCAAAGATTAGTCATGACAGGTGTTTTTTTCCTCCTCAGAAAGAAAAGGAAATCCATACCTTAATTAATATAATAAGAAGATAATTACTATGCTTAAGTGATGAGGACTCAGGCAGCTCTCTGCTGACAAGCTATTTATTTCTCTTTCTTTTCATTCAGTTCATCTACGAGAACTTTTTAGATATGCATAGCTCTTCATGCCAGTTAACAAAATAACACAGTACAACTGGGGATAAGCAACTACCACAACAAACAGGGAGAAAACTTATGAAGTATTACTTTGTCTTTGCAGAAGGGAGGCCACACATCTATTTTTTTTCTCTCTCACCTCCTTTTCACCTCTCAATATCTAAAATCTTTTAAGCCCTCACAAAAGCATTTTTGGTATGTTTTACAAACTTTCTGGGCTCAAACTTATGTCTTATTAACAGTTAACTTTGGTTTCTCGATACAAGTTAGGGAATACACTTTTTTGCCAGCCAACAAATGAGGATGGATGGCCCTGGAAGTTCTTAACAGAACACTCTTGCTGTTGGTGCCGCTATTTGCAGCGAGCAATTCTTTCATAAATACACAATGCTTCTACAGAGAACTAAAAGATGTTGACCAAACAGTCTTGTCAGCATTGTCTTGGCAATTCCCTATGATAGGCTTAATGGTGCTACTGACCAGCTAGAGATTAACAGTTAGTTATTTTTTTTTAACTACTGCATGCACTGTTTCAATTTGTTAGGCAGTTTGGAGAATGAGTAAAAATTTTCAACACTTGACCCTGTTCTTTGTCATTCTCCAGGCTGTAACTACTAACTAGGAGTCATTCTCAATTATCACATGCACAATTAAGTAGGTATTCCAAGTTTTCACTATTAAACAATAACGAAGAAACACATTTCTCTCAATTTCTATGGACAGCTTCACATTTTTATAAAAATAACCAGACATCTACAAAAATACATAATTCTTGTAAAAAAAATTACCATCAAAAAAAGCAACACGGTATTTTTTTCTCCTGTTTTAGCCGCATGATATAGTCATTACAGAGAAGATGAAACCCTACGGAATTTACTATGAAAATTTGTAATTTTTCTTCCCCATTTAAATTTCTAATACTGAGGAAACGTTGGGTCAATTTTACTGGCCCAAGCCATGAGCCCCCCTTTAATATCCTTAGCTAACACAGAACCAAATTCTTTGACAGGTAACTCCTGCAGAATTCTTACAGCCTTCTGGGAGTCATTTCCTAATTTGCAAACAACATATACAGGAAAAGACGTTTGGCCATTAGTTCTCTGCTTTTCTTCACAAATTCTTTTTTCTAAATATTCCAGGTATTCTTCATCTTTTTCTTCTAATTTACTCAAAGGAACGTGGACAGCATGTGCCAGGCGACAGATATCCACTTCTACCTGTGGACGAACATCTAACAATACATGAGGAACTTGCTCATCCAACAGTTTTTTGTATTCCTCTACAGATACCCTGTCTTTACTGGACAGTAGATGTAAAGTCCTACACTTGTCTGTTGCAGAAGAACCACAAAATGCCTCATAATCCTGAAGGCAGGTGACAGACGGATTGTCACCACAAACAGCACAGTCTGGTTTCTTTGGTCTTAACTTGATGTTGCGAAATCTCCCTTCACGGGCATCAAACATCAGCATGAACTGATTGAAGGAGGAACCCATTCCCGAGGCAATCTTCAGCACTTCCAAGGCCTGGATGCACCCCATGATGCCTGGCACGACACCCAGCACTCCCCCATCCGCACAGTTAGTCACTGTCTCTGGTGGAGGGGGCTTGGGGAAGAGACACCTGTAGCAGGGCCCCCCCTGGTAGTTGTACACGACTAGCTGCCCCTCCAGCCGGAGGGCACTGCCGGACACGAGGGGTTTCCCAGCCAGGACACAGGCGTCATTCACCAAGTACCTGGTGGGGACGTTGTCGGAGCAGTCGGCGACGAGGTCGTACTGCCGCACCAGCTGGAGGGCAGTGCGGGGGCTCAGGGCGCCGCAGTAGGGCACGTACTGCACGGTGGAGTTCAGCAGCCGCAGGGCTGCCGCGGCAGACGCGGCCTTGGGGAGCCCCCGGCGCGCCTCCCCGTGCAGCACCTGCCGGTGCAGGTTGCTCGTCTCCACCACGTCGTGATCCACCAGACCCAGGCGGCCGACGCCGGCCGCGGCCAGGTACTGGGCCAGGGGGCAGCCCAGGCCGCCGCAGCCCACCACGAGCACGGAGGAGCGGGCCAGCAGCAGCTGCCCCCGCACGCCCAGCTCGGGCAGCACCAGCTGCCGGCTGTACCGCAGGATGTCGGCGCTGCTCAGCGAGGCCTGGGCGGGCAGAGGGGGGAGCTCGCCGGGAAAGGCGGAGGCACCCTCCTCTGCGGCC